GAAGCGGATGGCATGGCTCGACAGGTGTGTGCAATAGATGGAGGTTTGCTATTCACCACTAAGGATGAAATTGAGTTTTGAACGCTGAGCGGGTCATTATGTGTGCGTTGCGAGCAGTGACTGATTTCCCGCCTCCATAACTTGGGAACAAAATCGATCTGGAAAGCTCAAAACACAGCCAATCAAAGCTGAGATCTTGCGCTTTCTTGTAAGCCAATTGGATAGCCTCAACTCGAAGTATTAGAAAAATGCTGCCAATCAGAAGAAATATGTGACTCTTTTTGTGGACCAGAGTAGTAACTTTATATAATGATGCCTTGTAGAATCGAATAATCTATTGCAGAATCTGAATATAGATATTTGGAGGTCACTGTCATTTTGAATAATGTGACATGTGATATGGCTTCGCAATTGACATGTGAACTAAAGTATAAAACAAAGCAATTTACTTGCATGTTGCTTACATGAATTTAGAATAATTTAACCAAAATTTGAAAAGCCTTTTTGAAAAATAATGGTTTTTCTAAAAAACCAAAATGAAAAACCAATCGTGCATTCCCTAATAGGTGAGGGGCCCAGATACTGTAAACGGCACATTCTATGGAAAGAATAACTAGGTTTGAAGAATAACTAGGTTTGTCAGGTTTCCCATAGAATGATTATGTTTTAGAGGTTTGAGATCTGGGAATGGGACGTTTGAGAAAACCTCTCTAATAGAATTGTTTCGCAAATTATATTTCGTGGACTGTTACAGTAGTATATTTCGTGATTTGCTCAGTTAGATTCGCAAACATCCAATATATTTCGTGACGTGACCAATATATTTCGCATAAATATTAACGCAATGGGTATATATATGCAGGAGTGACGACTGTAGGCTCCAACCAAAACGTCGTCCATGTTTTCGGCTCTGTGCTCGAGGTGGAAAGCGTTTTGATACAAATAGTTCATATCAACTCCTACGACAATCAACTCTACTCAGTACACTAGGTGGTATCAGAAACATACTTTGAATGACTTGGTCAGCAATGTGCTTCAGATATTACCTAAAAGATACTGAATACATTAATAACCTGCAGTAAATGATTATCTAGTTCGAAACATCCGTATAACGATGCATGCTATGTATGACATATCGCATTTTTTTGCAACTAACAAACATATCATTTAAAGTATCTACAGTACAAAATTGTCATTATGAAATCTGCTGGGTGCAGCGCAGCCAGTGGCGCTCCACCAGCGGATTTCCCTGGCAGCCACCTCCCATTGCTAGACCTGCAGGAGTGCTATCTGCTCCCGCTTCGAAACGGTGGCTATTACAGTGGTTACTGCAGCGTACATATATAATGGGTGTGGAATTTTTGCACGTGGTTTTTGGCGTGCATGGACGTGGTTAAATTTAGGTGGTGTATTTGCACGTGTTTCAATCTACGTAGGTCAATTTGGACGGTTTGCACGTGATATAATTTCCAGTCAAAAATAGTTGCCTGTAGACCGCGCAAAAAATCTAACAGCGTGCTCTACAAGTTACTACGCAGTAAGCGTGAAGCCCACATGATTTCGGTCATGCGATCAAATATAGGTACATGTTCGATTATTGGATTACTCTACCTCGACCCATCCGTATTCATGGTCTAGTGCCATCACTGAGGGATGCCCCCCTCGACACACACAAACTAATACATCTCGGCCACTCCTTGGTCAAACGCACTGATTCTTGGACTGGTGTCATTCCATAACCATAGTGAAAGACCGACTTGCCAACGTCGGTCTCGACCACCTCGCGCCGCCGATCATGGCGGTACCACGACACATACAAACTACTGCATCTCGACCATTCCTTGGCCAAAACCACTCATTCTTGGACTGATGTCATCGCTGAGGGATGTCCTCAGCTGTGGTACCAGTCCCACATACATTGCGAAAGCCAGACTTGCCTATGTCCGAAAACTTCCAAACCCAAACAACTATGTGCATTAACAATGGTGAGCACTTTATATTGTGTTAGCCTATATGTGCACTTCACGCCGTGGATCGATTGGCTTCTTCGCCGCAGGAGTGGTGGATGCAGGTGTAGCGGCGGCTTATCGCTCGGACACTCCTTGCGGCTCATTGAATTCCGTCGTCGTTGCTTTGGCTACATCAGACACTAATGTGGATGTCGCTACCAATGAAGGGAGCAGCGCGTTCGATGATCCTTGCACCTTCGCCTTGCGCACTTCACCACGTTCTGCGTGCGTCTTTAAAAGTGGTTCTAGGTCGGGATTGGGTAATCCCAATGCAAAATAAATCGGAGCAATTAACTGGTACATAAAGTGCATATTTCGAGTTGGTACTTTCGCTACTACCAGTTCGATTCCTGCCTAATCAGACGTTAGAGTATCAAAACAAAGGAGTCTCTACCTTGTTCATCGCCGCCTTTGTTGTTTCCCGAGTCTTCTCCAAGTCCCGATGCCTCGTGCAGTAATTCTTGTGGACTGCCGCAGTATATTCGGCATGCTGCCGCTTGAAATGTGTGTCAACTTGGTTGTACGAGCGCTGTACGTTGTCCTTGCAGAGATTGCACGTTTACACGTGTGCAACGCCCATGGTCGGCGGCGCGAGATGGTCGACACCGACGTTGGCAAGTTGGTCTTTCGCTATGTAAATGGGACTGGTGCCACTGCCGAGGGCATCCCTTAGCGGTGACACCAGTCCAAGAATGAGTGGTTTTGGCCAAGGAATGGTCGAGATGCAGTAGTTTGTATGTGTCGTGGTGCCGCCATGGTCGGCGGCGCGAGGTGGTCGACACCGACGTTGGCAAGTCGGTCTTTCGCTATGTATATGGGACTGGTACCACCGCTGAGATTATTTAACACGTGTTAATATTTGTGATCAATATATCCCCGTGTAAATGCTCCACCACGCGCAAATGCTCCTCCACGTGTACGCATACCATTACCACGTGTATGCACACCATTTTTGTAACGGCACGTGTAAATATACCAAAAACCACGTTCAAATATGCCTTTCCCATATATAATACAGCATATACGACACATACTGAGCACACGAACTACTTTAACGTTAACTCGATCATCTAGGTCTTACACAGCGGTGATGATGTCGTATGTTCCCGTGACAGCTTGACAACCTCAATTCCACTTACAATGGCTGCTCCATGGCCTAGTCCACCTATGTTTCACTGGTTAGACTTGTGATAGTCTCCACCATGACATAAACCCTGTAGGTTTTCCTACCACAATGCGCAGTGCGTGTTAGTTGTCTTTGAGCTCGTTGGACAAATCACATTTGGTGGGACTTTTTATTTTGGACTGTCAGTACTCCTAAGGTCTACAACGAGTACTACGATAGGACTGTTAATAGTAGTTGCTCATACTACTAGTATGTACTTCGAAGTACGTACAGGGAACGACGCTGAATAGTGCCGCCAATTATCGTTGTGATTGGATATTGCACTGACCAATGACGTACCAGGTCATCCCAAAATAGAACAGATGGATGGATTGGAATTTAGAATTACAATATTAGATTATACAGGTTATAGATATTAAAGATACAAATCAGCAAAGGCTCAACTTTCCTGCTCTACCGTTCATAGAGAACACGGATTCATGGAGTGTGTCGAGTCCAGCACGATTTTGAAACACGAATGTGTAACGTGTTCATTGTGACAATCGAGAAGAATGCAAGGAATTTGTTTTGGGAAAATCTATTTTATTATATAGTCACATCAAGACAAATTTTTAAAAATACGGATTGGGTCGATGGTCTTCAGCCGCAGAATCTTTAGTATTACTAATAGTATGCTTAGTACTAGTGGATTTTCTAGAAACATGCGACAGGACGTTCAACGGTGCTATCAACAACGGTCCTTCCCTGGCTGTTGAATTCTGACGCCTCATTTTTGATTTTGCCGCCATCGAGACAAGTGTTCGTCTTAAACTCTCCGAGAGGTGAGGGGCGGTCCTGGGCTACATACTCCACCATCCCAAGCACTGGCTTTCCACCGGGGCGGCCTCTGGTCTAAATGTACCATTCGGGGAGATAAGCCGGTGCGAAGGGGCAAAGGT